CAGTGGCAACCGTCGTCGTAGCTGTAGTGGTAGTGGCAGTTTTAGATGCACGAGTAAAGTAAGCTATGAGTTAGAGTAGCAGTGTGAGGAAGAGGAAGTGCTGTTGCTGCTGCTGTCGTTGTCAGTTTATCAGTTTCGTAATTGGGAACCTGCTGTGCTGGATGTCCGAGCGTCCTTCGATCAACAATTAATTGACAATAGCAGATCATGTTCAGGCAAGATTAGGCTACGATTCTGTCGCTTGCCGCCAGAGAGCCAAGAACCAAAGTTGTTGAAGGCTTCCACAAATTCCGGAGGGCACTTGGATGGGTCCTCACTCAGAACAGAAGCACCTGTGCCTATCGGTACCTATATGTACCTATCACTGTGATACGTCAGGTGATGCCTCAAAGCACCCCGCAGACCGCTGCGCGGTTTGCTTTCCCAGGTTGACCGCCCCGAACTGGATGGCACTGAAAATGCCTAGGACGAGGCCAACCTGCACCACTGACAATGCAGCGTTGAAAAGCCATGAGGCCCTCACCCACTGCCGCAGCTAGCAGACAACCCACCGTCGCCTGTCCGGTCATTGCATTGCAGCATGCCAGCGAAAAGGAAAGCGTAAGAAACCCCTTGAGCCATGTTGGACGGGGCGTCTTGCTTCCCCGAGCCTGCTGATTCACTGCCAATCCAGGTCTGCGGACATGGTTCTGCCAAAACTCCTCGCTCTCATCCTCGCCCTCATCCTCATGCTCCTCGTCCTCCTTGTCCTCCTCTTCCTCTTCGTCCTCCTCCACGAAACGGCTCTTGCTTCGAGATCCGAACTTGCGGAGCGGCTCACGGGCAAAGCACTCAAACAGATGACGTTGCAGCACGGTGGGCCTTGGAACGCCTCTCAGGCTCTTCTGGCACAGCGGCCGGGCTGAGCAAGAGAGCGCACTTTCAGCACATCCTAAACATGTCTACGGTCCGTGCACGAGCAGCTCTCACACATGTTCGCCTGCCGAGGCCAGTTGCCCAGACCATTCCTGCGAGACAGAGTGCTATTCCAACTATGTCGTTGGCGCCGCTCCCCGGCGATCCTTACAACTTACAACTGTTTAATCGCGGGAGCATTGCCCTCACTCTTGACCGTCGCAGCTTCATCGATTCGCTCGCGAGTCTCAGCATAACTTCTTTCGAGATTCAACCCCGCGAATTTCACCGGAGCACTCAAAATCCAGCCTACAATGCCAAGGACGATGCAGGCAAGGTAAGCCGGTGCGAAGTAGATCCTCAGCCATATCGAAAACTGGGCCGTCAACTACAACATCCACTAAATGGAAGTGTGCGAGGAAAAGTCTGCTTATGGTTTTCCGATGATGATGATGATGATGATGACGACGACGACGACGACGATGATGGCGGCGGTGGTGATGATGCTGATGCTGATGCTGATGCTGATGCTGATGCTGATGCTGATGATGATGCTGATGCTGATGCTGATGCTGATGCTGATGCTGATGCTGATGCTGATGCTGATCCTGATCCTGATGCTGATGCTGATGCTGATGCTGATGCTGATGCTGATGCTGATGCTGATGCTGATGCTGATGCTGATGCTGATGCTGATGCTGATGGTGATGGTGATGGTGATGGTGATGGTGATGATGATGATGATGATGATGATGATGACGGTTATTATCCCTACTATGACGATTTTGGCCTAGCCTGTGTTAACACCGGCAAAGCCCCAGCCAAGTTATT